ATGTCTGTGTTTCTCTCTCGCTCTCTCCTCCACCTGGACTGTTAGAGAGCTCTGGAGGTCTAGGAGTTGCTCTGCTAACCCAAAAACAGTGCCCCTCTGGCTGTTCGAATCCACAAGGAGCTCCTTAAAAAAAAAAAAAAAAGAAGCAGCAGCTCCTTAGGAGAAAGGTGCGGATAATCTCCTCTCGTTCCATTTACAGCCTTGGAAACTGGAGAGAAGGTCAGCGTTGAGTTGGTTCTAACTCACAGACAGTAAGTCGAGTTGAGTTGCCCACACTGCCACTTACATAGAGTCTCTGGGTGGGGCTGACTCTTAACCCCTCCACTGCTAACCACAGAGCTGGAAGTTCAAGTTCACGTGGAGATGCTTCATTATTGCAGCCATTACATCAGTGCATCTGATTCAGGATCTTCCTCATTTTCCCAAAACCTCACTTTGCCGAGCATGATGTCCTTCTCCTGGAACTGGACGCATCATCCTGATAATGTGCTCAGAGTACCTGAGGAAGAGTTTCCGAATTCTTGCCTCCAAAGAGTAGCTTGGTTTCATCCTCTCCAGGACAGACCTGTTAGTTCTCTTGGCCATCAGTATTCTTGGTATATTCAATCCATTTCTCCAACACCACAATTCAAAATGCATCAATGCTTTTTCTGTCATCTCTGGTCATTGTCCCGCTTTCTGATGCACAGTGAGTAATTGTCTGACTCTGTATACCTGGTGGGGTGAAAATGAAAATTCCTCTCAGGAGGTGATCTGTAATGAACCAGTATGAAGCTCTGAATTAATTTAAAAAGGGGAGTAAAAACCACGGCTAAAAAGTTGTAACTGTGGTCCCTGTCCTGAGTCTCATGTGCATTAAAAATAAAAGTGTTTAAAGAGTGGCGTAGAAAAGTGCTCATTTAGGTTTATCACGAGTTTGCCCCACTGGCCTCTGCCGTTCCTTTCAGTCTTTAGTAGCACCCCACACGGTGTTGGTCAGTAGTTGGTCAGCAGTCACAGTACAGCCACTAAAATTGGGTGCACACTTGTGGACGCCGAACACAGTGCTCCATGCGCCGTAAGGAGGTTTCCCTTCCGTGGTCTGTGGTGTGGAAACAATCCAAGTCCTTCATACAAGGGACATCAGCCAATACAATTTATCCACATGCCTTTTTGGTAGTGAGACACTGACTTCAACATCTCTCAATAGACACTGTCTCATCTCAGTGGGGATCTGTTAGAAGCAGACCCCTGGGGCCCAATTAGGTAACATAATAGCCGCAGCTGCTTTCGGAATCATTAGCTTCCTAATCCTCCCAGTGAGAGGTGCAGAAAGTGTGAACATTCAGACTGGACTCTGAGATTTAAGTGGTTTAAGCAAAGGTCCCCAGGAGAGTGAAAGTCTAATAGTAGCTCCTGTGTGCTGAGCAGTTACTATTAGCAAGAACGTGCCTCAACAGTCCTCACAGCAGCCCTTCAGGGTCCTCATATCACCCCATTTTGCAGATGAGGAAAACCGAGTCTCAGGAAGACAGAGGAGGCTTTGGGCACCAGATTACAGCAGATATATTGTATCAGAGCAAGGATTTGAATTTGAATCTGAGATCCCTTAAAAAAAACACCTCTGGGTTTTTTTGAGAAAGAACATTAAGTTAGCAAATGATGAGGTGTGATCAGTAGATCTAGCTGAAAGAGCACATGATAACATCGATTCAACTTATGAACCGTGTGTGTCCTAGGCAAGTTTCTAAACATGCACACACATCCAGTACATGCATGTACACACACCCCTCAGCTTTAGTTTCCTCATAACATAATTGAGAGGAATTGGATCTTTAGCTTTGCTCGTTGGTGTGACTGTATTGGCCCAACTGCACATTTGAGTGTTAAACTTCTGATAGATTTGTTTTCATGAATCTAGAATTATGGTAATTTTCCATGGTTTGTAGTTTTTTTGAAGGGTTTTTTGTTTTGGTTTTTTTTTCGTTTATAGAACTTTTATTCATTTAAGTGTGATCAGGCCCCAGATTTCCAAGTACAAAAGAATATAGCATTAAATTAAAAAACACTTTACAAGTAAGACAAAGGGCAGGAGATACAGGCATGAAATGGTATTACACGAATTTTCAGTTGTTTAGAAAGTGTTCTAGAGCATTGGAAATGTGCATACTCAGGTGCTTTGCCTTGCATTTGTTTGTTCTCTACCCCAGAGTCTGGATCCTCTGGAGACAGGAGTTGGGTCATGTTGATTAAGATGCCATTTTAAAGAAACACTGTTTTTCGCACCCAGTCAGGTTCTGAATGGCAAGGGACACTACCACATAACTGTATACAAATTTGGTCAGAAGAGTGCAAACATTACCGAGTGGTTACCATCCAGAGGCCCAGGGTCACAGTGGTTTGTAGTTTTAATGAGCCAGTGGGCTAACCCGGCCGCACTCAGTTGACCAGGTTCTCCTGGTGAATCTGTGCAGGTGAAGGCTCCAGCTGACTGGCCTGTGCACCCTGATTTTCTTTACACTTTGTTGTTTGCTGTATGCCATTGAGTTGATTCTGACTCGTAGCAACCCCGTGCACAACTCTGAACCCTGCTCTGTCCTGACAATTTCATCATCTCTGTTACAGCTACTCTCATTACCCCAATCACTGAATCAATCCGTCTTAACTAGGGTCTTCCTCTCTTGTGCTTTGCCTCCACCCTTCCAAGGATCGGGTCCCAGCCATGCTGCTGTCCAGTCATGTGACTTTGCTGGCATGCATTTGGTCTGTCTCTGGCCTCAGGTTCCTCACCTGTGTGATAGGAGAGGAGGGGACTCCGCAGAGATGTTTTGAGGTTCTTTTTTTATAGACTTTAGTCGAGCATCTGAAGACAGAGTGCACTCAGAAAAGATTCTCACAGAAAGGGCTAAAATATTTCACTGCAGATCTACGTTTGTGGTTGAGAAAGTCCCTGGCAGTTCCTTCCGAGTCTCTTCCTGCTTAAACCAGTGCCTGGAGTGACTGCATTTGCAGGACATCTCCCTGACAGCTGAGGCCCTTCGAAGGTATCTTATTCCCTCCAGGTATCTCCACACTGGGCTGTGGAGTCTGTCCCGGCTCCTTGCTCGATGTGCAGGGCTTCAAACCGGGTCATTCCAGCTCCACACCTTGCTGAGAAGTTGCCTTTCTGTCTGAGACATACCGAAGCGACTTCTGCACTCCAGCCGATCCTCAGGTTTCCACGTGTCCATATCTTAAGGATCTTTAAGAATCGCCTGGAGATTTTGTGGAACTGCAGTTTATCCGTGCAGCTTTCCAGTTCTGCCAGTGGAAACCAGGTGCCACCATCTGCCTCCCTCCAAGCCCCTGGTGGGAGGGCTCTTCTCATCAAGATTACAACTTAGAAAACCATAGAAGGTATCTCCTCAGAGACATAGGGCAACTGTATCAGAATCAACTTGACAGCACCTAGCAGCAACTTTCCTTCTCAAGAAGGATGCCAACCAGAAGCATTGCCCAGTCAGTTTCCTGCTTAGCACCAATCCAGCCGCAACAGTGAGCTCAGGGCTGCCCAGGGGGCCTGAACACGTTGGCTGCCTGGGCCTCTCCATCTCCGCTTAGTTTCTTACATATTTTAGAACAAATTTCCCAAACAATCCCTCATCACCAAACCCACTGCCGTTGAGTTCGTTCCAACTCAGTGATGTTTCATCTCATTTCCAGGGTTATAAGTATTTACAAAAGGAGATCGTCCAACTTTCTCTCAAAAAGCGACTGGTGGATTTGAACACCCGATCTGGACCTTACCCTGTTCTATGCCATCCCCATCATCTCTGATATGCTTGACGGCATTGTTACTGTCAGCCGTGTAACTATCTTCCTGAGGGTCCTCTCTTGCACTGACCCTTCACCTTTCCAAGCATGGTGTCTTTTTCCAAGGACTGGCCCGTCCCGACAGCATGCCCAGAGTATGTGAGACAAAGCATCACCATCCTTGCCTCTAAGGAGCTCCTGAGTTGCACTTTCTGCAAAACAAACATGTTTGTTCTCTTCGAAGTCCGTGGGATATTCAGTACTCTTCTCCAGCACCACAACTCAAGTGCATCAATTTTTCTTCTGTCATCCTTATTCACTGTCCAATTTTCAGATGCATTGCAGGGAAAATTGAAAAGACCATGGCTTAAATCAGATGACTAGGAAGTAATTGGAAAATGCTATGACTTGTCTCAGGGACCTCCAGGAGCCTAGCATTGAAAAGCTGTGCTGCAGTCCCAAAGGCATGCAGTTCGAATCCACCAGTTGCCCTGCGAGAGAAGTGTGACAGTCCTTTCCCGTGAAATTAAACTGGCTCCGAAAACCCACTGGAGTTGGGTTTGTCAGTTCTGCCTCAACAGCATACAACAGCAACAGCATGGCTTGGATCAGACACATCTTAGTCTTTAAACTGACATTGTTGCTTTATAGCATTTTGAAGAGGTCCTTGACAGCAGACTTTCCCAATGCGACATGTCTTTGTATTTCTTTTTTCTTTTCCCCTTGTCTTTTTATTTCTTGACTGCTGTTACCATGGGTGTTGGTTGTGATCCAAGTAAAATGAAATTGTTGACAAGTTCAGTATTTTCCCTATCAATTACGAGGGTTCCCTTGCTGAGGCTGGTGTGCATGTAATCTGAGAAATGAAAGCTTAAGTCATTTACAGCTGTTTATCATGTATTGGTCTAGAACTAAGATTGATAATAAACACTGGTAAGGAGTCTTCAGGGTCTGGTGTGGGCGGAGGTCCTTCAGGAGGGCGGGGAAGGTGACATCCTGAGTTATGTGACCTAGACTGTGGTGATGTCCTTGGAACCTTGCTACATGATCAGGTCCAACTACGATGGAATTATGAAGTATAATCTCATTGAAAAGAGGAAAATAAAATGGGTTTTGGTGTCCATGCCACAGAAGGAGTAAATATGCATAGAAAAAGGGTTGGTAACAAAATAAGGCACAAGGCATGGTGGACTGGCTACATGATCACCTCATCTTCTCTTTCCACGCAGACCTTGCCCGCGTGTCCTGCCCAGCCCGCCTTCCTCAGCCATGGCAGCCTATGGCCAGACGCAGTACAGCACAGGGCTCCAGCAGGCTGCACCCTACACGGCCTACCCACCTCCAGCGCAGGCCTACGGAATCCCTTCTTACAGTGAGTACCAGCCCGAGGCCTTCCCTCGTCCCTGGGACCACCAGCATCATAGTCTTTGTTGTGATGGTCAGCCCCGTTGCCTCAGTGAAATGCAGAATGAGACATACAAGACGAGTCTGCTGTTGGACAGGAACTGGAGGAGAAGCCGGGGCACTTTCAGAGGGGTTCAGACTTTACAGGGTATGTCAAAGCCCTTTTGGCTGCAGAGGTGAGAAATCCAAAGCAGGAGAGCTTTGGGTAACAATCTAATGATTCACCTACTCCGAGATCTATGAGTGCGCTGAAATCAGGTGTAGCTGCGCCTAAGTCCTCAAGTGATGGAATGTGTCTCACTGCCTCCAGCTTTGTTTTCCTCCACGTTGACTTTATGGCTGGTTTTCCCCAGCTGGAGGCACAGGTACGTGCTCATTGACTCCGAGCTGGCATCTTTCAGCAGCTCTGTGGAAAGGTGAGCCTATCTTTTCCCCCAACAGAATCCCAGGGATGGAGTTCCCAGACATAATGTCATGTGAGAAAAGAGGTTGCACTGAAAGATGCAATGCATACGAAGTTTTTTAAACTTGCAAAATAATACACTGAGGTTGGCAAGCTACAGCCCATGGGCCACATGGAGCTCTCTGCCGTAACAGAAATACAACATGTGGGTGACTCTCCCCAACAGATTTATTTTCTCACAGTTTAGGAGAGCAGAGTCTGAATTAATGGAGTTGGTTCTGGGGGTTGGTACCCTTTCTGTGTTGGTTCTGTGGAAATAGTGCTTTCACCTTCTAAGTAGATCCAATGTTCCGTGATGCCTTCATCTGCCCTACATGGCGGGTCTCATCTTCCTTGTTCACTTTCTTGAGTCTGACCTTACTCTGCTCTTCGAATAACAAAAAATGTTTGGATTTGGGACATACCCTGCACTGGCATGAGAACAAAAAGCCTTTTCCCCAGTGGACTTTCGTCCGCTGGCATAGCGGTGAGCAAGTAAACACGTATTTGCAGGGGACACAGTTCATTCTGTAAAGGGCGACATGAGGTGAGACACTGGTAATAGTATCTATCATTGATTTACTGTCAGTAGTAGAGAGCTCTGGTGATCTGGCAGTAAGAAGCCGCACCGTGGTCTTGAAGGCCTGTGGTTTGAATCCACCAGTTGCTCCATCAAACAAAAATGAGCAGTTTCCTCCCTTGTAATTAACTGCCTCTGAAAATCTGCTGGAGGGTCAGTTACGGGTCAGTTCTGACTTGACTGTACACAACGACAATAATGAATGGTGCTCTATAACCTGAAGTTCCTTTAGTCCTATTAACCTGTTGAGGAAGTTGTCGCCATTGTCTTCACTGGAAAGATAGAGAACTGGTGTCTCAGAGAGAGTAAATTACTCTCGCAGGGTCTCCCAGCTGGCTGGTGGCAGACACAGAATTAAATGCTGGCGTCTTGACCCCAGAGTCCAGCTCTTCCACGCTGACTTCTGCTGGCTGGACGTGCATCCCATTAGTCCTGGGGAATTGCCTCTTACAGACGCTGACCAACAGGTGTGGGCATCTCCTCTCACGGTCTTTCCCTCCTAAAAGCCTTGTGATACCTTTCACACAGGAGCTGCCCTCCTGGCTGACAGCCAAGGAAAATGAAGCCATAATACTTTTCGGCACAGAAGGAAAAAGTAATTCTGTTCCCAGACAAAACATGGCATCAGCTGGAAACTCATTTGATTCAAAGTTATTTTATAGTCTCAGTTACTTTGCAGAAACCATACACTGGTCTACATCTCACCTCGCTGTAACCAGCTATACCACCGCCTCTCTCCGAGACTCATTTTCCTCATTCACACACAGAGCAGTCCTGAATCTGACCTCCTCAGGGTCCTTGTGAGAATTCACGGGGTCTTCTGAAAGATCCCTGGTAGCGCAATGCTTAAGCACTGCTGCTAACCAGAAGGTGAGCAGTTCAAACCCTCCAGCCACTCTGCAGGAGAAAGACCCACTCACCTGCTCCAGTAAAGACTCCAGCTAGGAGTCGCCCTCCAGGACAGTTCTGCGCTCTTCTGTACGGTTGCTGTGAGTTGGAATCAACAGCACAAAACAACAACAACATATTATTAGGGGTTGGTTACTTTTATCCTGCAAAGAATTCATGCAGCTCAGCTCATTGCTGTCAATTTGGAACAGACACATAGCTGACCCTCCAGTGAGTTTTCAGAGGCTGTGAAATCACCTGGGTAGAAACTGTCCATCTGTCTCCTGGAGTCACTGGTGGAGTCAAACCAGTAGCATAATCCCTGTGGACTGTGCCACTGCAGCGCCCTCCTGCAAAGACTGATTATCTAGTAAACACTTTAAGCTTTGTGGGTCGTGTCAGAACTGCACTGCCCATGCAGAGACACAAGGTTCGAATCCACCAGGTGCTCCATGAGAGAAAGATGAGCAGTCTTCTCTCGTGCAGTTTACTGCCTCTGAAAATCCACTGGAGGCCCAGCTGTGAGTCTTGTTCCATCTCGAAGGTACGAAACAACAAGCACCGTTGTAGCACAGAAGCAGCCAGATGATATGTAAACTGGTGTCTGTGCCTGGGTGGCAATAAAACTTTATTTACACAAGTAGACAATGGGCCATAATTGGCCCCCGCGCCATCATTTGCTGCTGCCTGATCTGTCCAGCTCATAAGGCCCAGCTGAGGGGGAATGGTCAGTGAACATCAGCCATCTCAGTAGAAACCAGAGTGACGCTCACACCCTGAACGTCCTTGTCACCGAATAATCCCAGGTGAGGTGGAAAGCTGTCTTCTTTCCCACATGCCTCCACCCAAGCACGCATGGGTGTTTGCCCACCGTCTGGACAAATGTTGTCGAGTCTTGTTAGGAAACTTTCTTCTAACTCCTTGACAAATAGTTTTACTTATCTTTGTTTAAATAGCTGCAGGGAAGTGACACACTTGAGCAAACTGGAGACAAGAAGTTAAGAGTATTGAGAATTTTTTTTATCTCAGTTTATTATGCAATATTTAAAACATACATAAAAATGTGAGGAATAAATGCTCATGATCCAACCATCGACATGAAAATTCAGACCAAAGGAGGGTGCCCCGTTCTCAGAGATCCCCACGCCCGTGAAGTTGATGGCTGTCATCCCCGGGTGTTTCTTGATGTACATCCAACGTTTCTGTAATGAGCCACATAGTCATTTTTGTGTGTGTGGCTTTGCATGTTGGGTAGGTCTCTGTTGTTGTGTGTAATGCCGTTGAGTCAATCCCGATTCACAGTGACCTTATGTAAACAGAATGAAGCACGCCCTGTCGTCTGCCACCCTCCCAGTGTTGCTCTTTTGGCTGCGGTCCGTCTGTCAGCCCATCTCATTGAGGGTCTTCCTCTGTTTTTGCAAACTCTCTCGTTCACAAGCATGAGCTTCTTCTCCAGGAAACAGTCCCTCCTGATAAAAGTGTCATCATCATCCCATGTATGGAACATTCTGGGTGCACTTCTTCCAAAGTGTATTTGTTTCTTCTTCTCCCTGCTCCTCACCGGCGGTGCGTGAGAGCGACTCCTGGCTGATCCTCTGTTGGGTTTCTGAGGCTGAGAATCTCAGAGGAGGAAGTTGCTGATCTTTCTCCCCAGGAGCTGCTGGTGGATTCAGCCCAGCGAGGGCCTGGCCTCTGGGTTGTGAGCAGCGCTGCCCTGGTGGTCTGCACTGCTCTCTGCCAGTCCCTTGTGCTTGGTGTACTCTCTGTATTCCTTTCCAGCACCGTCATTTATTTATATGTTATGGTTCTTCTTCATAGTCTAGCTTTCACATGCACATGGCACTATTGAAAAGACAATGGGCTGGCAAATGCAAGTAAACTATTGACCACTGCTGACATTGGAGTGTGAAAAGCTGCAAACAAGAAGAAAATGAATGGGCCTGATTGTGGTCCAATAAAACTTTATTGACAAAAATAATTTCTGGACTCTAGTGTAGGGTGTTATTTTGAATGTTTTAAAATTGTATAGACATTGGACATTGGGAGGAGAATAGGAAAAGAGTTGCTAGATCGTGAACACTGTATTGGAACAGATGAGGGAGAGAACTATTTAAAAGGAATATATGATTAGGACAGAGAGTGGGGTGGAACTCCCCGATTAAAACAAGCTTGGAAGCAGGAGTGGCATCCACTTCCGTAATAGCTTGCCTCCAGAAACCCTATGAACCTGGAGAGAGGATGAAAGGCACCCAAGTGTCGAGGACTCTCCTTCATAGGGTCACTGTGAGTCACCTGCGACTCGACGGCACTTAACAACAACAACAACGTATGATTAGGCATTATATGTAACACAGCATAAGAGGTACATTGCAAAGAGGACTGGGAACGGAGAGAAATTGTGCAAAACTGAATGAATACTTTGAAGAACCGAAGTGAACTGGAAGAGGTGGAAAGGATGGGGAAGGGAAGGAAGAAAATGTGCAACAATGAATGAAAATCCAACTCTTCTGTAAACTTTCCTTAAAATCATAGTTAAAATTTTATATACATTGTCTTTTTTCATGTACATTCTTATGCAACCTGCTTTCCCACCCAACATTATGTTTGTCAATTGTCTCCCTACTGCATAGAGCAGCTATGATGTTCATTTTCACTATTATGTAATACTCTATTATTTTCTTTTCCAACATTTATCTGCTCTCTTGTTGGTGGCCACTTAGGATTTGGAGTTTTTGGGTTTTGTTTCCCATTACATAAGATGCTAAAATTAGTATCTTTGTGCATTTCTCAGGAGTGGAAACCAAGAAGTAGAATTTTGGATAGTAGGGTATATGCATCTGCTACTTTTTTGGGTACTAATAAAGTGTCTCTATTACCAATGACTGGAACAAACGTATTGGCTAAAAATGATACAGAGTTATTTTATCTCATAGTTGAATTGGTTGGGGATTCCTTCTGCTGGTCTCAAGTTGAAGGCTGGTGGTCAGCTTCAATGGCTGGACCCCCCTCTCTCTCAACCATGATCCTTAATCTTGAGCTTCCTCACAGCCTGGTGGTCTCAGGTATCCAGGAAGCTGAGTGAAGGCCTTAAGATTTCCCCACACCCACTGAGCTCTAGAATTCTCAAGCTTCAACTCAGCTACTTCCATGCATCAGAACAAGTCCCAGGCCAGTTATATTCTCTTTTTACATTGAATCGATTTGCAGCTCTTATAACAGCTTCATGTAACAGATTAAAACCACACATGGATTTTTCTAGGTTGTCATCTTTATGGGAGCAGATTGCTGTATCTTTTCTCCTGCAAAGCTGCTGGTGGACTTGAACAACCAACCTTTCTGTTAGCATCTGAGCACTTACCTGTTACACTACTGGGGCTCCTTGTCTAGATTCTAGAGGAGTGAAAATAAACACCTGGCCTTGATGAGAGAATTTGTGAAATATTGTAGCTATGTTTTCCAGTCTACCACAGAAGATTAACAGAGACACAGAAGTGTGTCCAATCAGAAAATGAATCGTTGGGCATCTGGTTATGGAATTGGAAACTTGAGAACCAGGAGACTCTGGTGGTCTGAAGCCACGCCATAGGCTTTACCTGTCTGTCTGTAGAATTGTTTTGACACCTTTTGATATTGAGACATGCTATAGCATAGATGAATCTTGAAACCATTATGCTACGTGAACTAGGCCAGACACAATATATTGTATTATCCCATTTATGTAAAATATCTTGAATAGACATAGAGACTAAAGTAGATTAGTGATTTCCAGGGTTGAGAGAAAGAGGATGTGGGAGTATAAAGAGAGATGAGCCCAGTGCTGCCTCTGAATTGCAGGCAGGGGTTATTCTGTTAAATAAACTTGGGTGGAGAATAAGGGCGCTCACTCTTCTTTCCTTTGCCCCAGCTGCCTTCGTGGCTTAGTTGCACTGATTTGCAGCTGCGTAACCTGAGCCTGCAAGTCCGATATTGAAGCAAGCCAGATTGGCAGGAGCTAAAGGCTCCCTCAGAACTATGGGAAGACAGAGCTGGAAGTGGTTCTTACAGACTGTGAATGCTACCTGGACTGTGTTCTGTGAGATAATCTTAGGTGGCACATGGATGAACTTTTCTACATCCTTATTTTTTTTAATAATTTAGTTTGTTTATTTTTCATTTCAATGAACATCTACAGAGATTTTGGAATTCCATCCATTCATTGTTGCACCCTTCTCCCCGCACAAGCCCCTCCCCCCCCGTTTGCTCCTCTCCTTGAAAAGCAAAAGGAAAACTCCCTTATTTTTATATGCATTATTGTTATGAGCCCCACCCCACCCCCAAGTCAGAACCAATTTACAGCTGACCCTCCAGGGGGTTTTCAAAGGCTATAAAGCTCATGAGAGGAGATTGCCCATCTTTTTCCCACAGAGTAGCTGGTGGATTCAAACTGTGTTCCTTAGGATTGGCAGCACAGCTTCTTACCACTAGGCCATCAGAGTTCCCGCAGATGTACATTAGAAAACACATACACAGACGTATATATAATTTCTTTCTAGTTCATGAACTTATCATTTCTTGATTATTGCTTGAAGAAAGAAAAGCCAGTTTTAAATGAAGTGGATGTAAGGAAGACTATGAAATGGAACATTGTGTCAGTGGGTCAGTGGTCCTGGGATTCAGAAAAGCAACCAGGGGTCCACTGCTGGAGTTGAGGAAGTTCGAATTTGGCGCCAGTTCCTCCTGTTCCTCAGGGGAAATGGAGGTGTGGAGGTGGGAAGGGACTCTCTCAAGTGATGTCGCAGAGCCAAGACAGGGACAAGGACCCTCCTACCGTGCTGTGGACCGTCTGAGAGGACGCACCAGGGAGCCCTGGACAACATTCCTCAGAGCCGCTGAGCGGTCAGTTCTGGGTAACCACAGTTAAGCAGATATCCCAATAAAGTGGATATAGGAAATTTTTGGTTTCCTGGTGCATATAAAACTTGTGTTTGCACTATTAAGTGCACGTTGTTATTGTTGTTAAGTGCCGTCGAGTCTTAATGACCCTATAAACAGTAGATCTGAACTCTGCTCTATCCTGCACCATCCTTACCATCCTTAAAATGTTTTCAGTCCATTTTCAAAGACACTGTATCAGTCCATCTTGTTGAGAGTCTTCCTGTCCTGCGCTGACCCTCTGCCTTTTCAAGCATGATGTCTCTCTCCAAGGAATAACCTCTCTTAGCGACACATCCAAAATATGTGAGACAAAGCTGCACCATCTTTGCCTCCAAGGAGCTTTATGAAAAAGGTTGAAATGCTGTGAGAAGAACCAAAATGTGACACGGAGGCATGAAGAGGGCAGGTGCTGTTGTCAGAACAGAGCCCACAGACTTGCTGTGTATAGAATTGACAAGAACCTTCCATTTGTAAATAAACACAAAGCCGCCTTTTTCTTTTCTTTCACAATAAATTGTCCCGGGAGAACGAAGAGAATGGAACGGAATGAGGCGTCCATAAGTATGCTAATGCTGTCTGTCCCTCCTCATTACAACCAAAGCCCCCACAATTCCATAATGCTTGTTCACATTCGTTATTGACAGACAGCAAGTTAAGGAAAGGGACGCTTTTACTTCAGAGCTAAATGCTAATTGTCAGTTGACCTAGCTTTCTAAACCTTTCTGAACTTCAAGGCAGGTGATTCAAGTCCATTATCTGCTCCAAGTTTCGAAAGATGGGCAATCTCCCCTTGTGTAATTCATAGCCTCTGAAAACCTTCTGGAACTATGAGTCAGTTCCAACTCAGTGGCACATCACAACACAACAGCCGCATACAGTATACTACTACACAGGCTTCTGTATGCACAGACTCTGTCTGGAAGTGAACTCAGGAAACTGGTAAACTTACTGTCTGTGGGAACTTGGAATTGGGGGTTTGAGGTCCAGGACTTTGTGCTCTGTGACTTGCATACCTTTTGAATCTTTTAAAGTAATGCTTATTACATTTTCAATAAAAATAAAATGTATGGGCAGCCAATGCTAGATGAGGCTTCCTCTCTTGAGACTGTCAGAGAAGTAACACTTCAAACTGGCCGCTGTGTCCCAGAGGCAATGCAAGTTCTGTGCGACCCAGGAAACACAGCATCAGGCAGCCCGCTATCAAATAGTGTCCCTAGACCTTCCTGATGCTCAAGAGAAGCTGTGGAGCCAGATATTTTGGTCATGATTGCCTGGCTTTTAAACAAAATCAACTTACTGCATTTAAAAAAATATACATGCATCAGAGCATGTCGATAAGGTGACCTTAGCTCCCAAGCCATCATTCAGTACCTATAATTTAGACGCTGATCCAGTACCATGCTGTTTTAACTCAGCAGCTCTTCTCTACAGATGATGAAGAAGCATCCTAACTATGTGCCCTTCGTACTTCTGTCTCCTCCTCCCAAGGCATCAAGACAGAAGACAGCTTGAATCATTCCCCTGGTCAGAGCGGATTCCTCAGCTACGCCTCCAGCTTCAGCACCCCACCCACTGGACAGAGCCCATACACCTACCAGATGCACGGTCAGTCCGCCCTCTCAAAGGCACCCCGACTTGGGTGTCCATTCATTCATTCAGTCAGCCAGTCAGTCAGTGTAATTTTTTAAAATCACCTACTATGTGCCAGCTCTATTTGAATTAGTTGCATTGCAGAGATAGACTGAATAGACTGTGGATATGCCTTTGTGGCAGTTACTGGGCGGGGGGAGGGGAGGGGAGGAGAAATGACCATTAGCAAGGCAATCAATAAAAGGGAACCTGTGGGGCGATGTTACAAGCAGTGAATGGCATGAATGTGGTGTTTGAATTGAGAGTGATGTGCGGTTGGAGGGTGGGTCAGGAGAGGTGGGCTGTGTAACTTTCGATGGGGTTTTCAGAGAAACCTTTTCAAAGAGCTGATGTTGGAACAGACACCCAAAGAGTGAAGTGAAGCCAGCCCTGGGCAGATCTAGAAGACGGGCATTTCAGGCACAAGGAACAGCCAGTGCACGTGCTCTCTGGCGTAAAATGTTTTGTGTTCAAGGTACAGAATGAGATGTTAGAAACATTGTAAAAATAACTAAAGTATGACGCGAAGTGAGTAGATGCTGATGGAGACGTAGTACCTATAAAGCTGCTCCGTGTAGAATTGCCAGAAACCCTCAGTTTGTAAAAAGAAACCACAGCGCCTTTCTTTAAACAATAGATTGTTCCTGGAGAATTGAACAGGGAAAGGTGCCCATAAGTATGTTTAATGCTGTCCTCTTCGTTACAACCAAACTCTTGCACCGTCTACTGCTGGAGGCAGGTCAGAGGGGACATAGGAAGAGAATCTGGCAGCAATTGCAGAGCGCGGTTACACGGTACCTGGTGCCGTGGGGTGTCAGCGATGGGTTGGCTTTGATTTTCTTCCCGATGGGGCAGACAAGCCCACTGCAGAGACTTGTAGAGGTAGATCGTGGACGAGCCATACAGGAACTGCTTTTAGGCTGAGTTCTCTAGAAGAGCAAAACCAGTGAGTGCATTATAAATAGATACAAAGAGATTCTCTTTGAGGAAATGGCTCACACTTGCAGCTTGGCAAGTCCCTAATGCTTGAGTCAAGGGGCAGGCAAAGCTGTAGGCTTCTCGTGGGCCAAGAACTGGAGTTCAGATGCGATGAGTGCAAGATCGAGACAGAGAGAGAATGTGTGAGGTTTGTCCAAATATCCATTTATATATTGACTACAAGCCACACCCCCAAGGAACCCTCTTCCAAGTGATTGGCTGCTCACATCAGTTTATGAAATATACAGTGTCGGTTACACCACTGAGGACTGAGTTCTACTCTAGTTGACACGTAACATCAATTGTAACAGAGCTGTTGTTCCAGGCTGGGCGTTCAGGACTCTGTGTCCTCCCAGTGTGACCTTGAGAAAAGAGTAGAAACCCCGTGTGGTGCCCCACCCCCACCTCACAGAACTAGCTCCGGGGCGTCTCCAGCACCTACCTGCACCCTCCCACAGTCCAGGAATCCTGCCCTGGCCTCATTAGGAACGTGTTAGGGTTGCTGCATGGAGAGGAGGATTAATGGCAATATGACTTTGGGGATCCCCATCCTGACATTTTTCCTTTTATGAAAATTGGTTAAAAGAAACCCATCAGACGTCTGAAAAATAATGTATGAAAAATGAGTGTGACAATGAGTGATCTTACAGTTTAAAAAAGTTTGCAAGTATTGTCATTTTCCCATTTGTGTTTCAATTTTATTTAAGCAACCACAAGAATGAATGCTGGGGGCAGCCTTCCAAGGAAAGAAATGTTTGAGGGGTACATGCAGAGAAAGGGGGTGGTGAGCACAGACGTCCAAGACAGTTGTGCCTCAGAGTTTGTTGTGATTTTACCAGCTGGCCTTGACCACACACTTACTGTACACCTGGTGATGTGTGTTATCTTGCATGTCCTTCTGGACACTCCAGTGTTGGTACTGATGTTATACCCAATTTACAGAAGGAAAAACTGAGGCTTAGGTGAAATGACTGGATTTCCCAGTGTCAGGGCGAGTTTCTGTTTTACTCTATGTGCAGGGAGAAGCAGACTGAGCCTGTGACGTGTCTGCTGCAATCTCACCCTCCTGCGTCACTGTGTAGCACATGTTCTTCGCCACCAGCTGCTCCTGCCTCCTCTCCTGCCACCGCCCCTTGTCCCCCAGACGGTGGCCTTTTTCAATCCCACCAGAGGGTATGAGCTACCGGGACCTGGCTCTTACATGGAGAGTGTATTATGGTAACAAGGTCCCATAATGAAGGCCTTTGGAGACTGAATTTCACTTGTATTTGGGTCTGTCTCCAGCCAGTTGGGTTGTTTTTTTTTTTAGCTTTGCAAACAGAAACTGAACTTCCTGCCTCAGGGCATCTGAGGATACAGAGGTAGACCAGCAATCACAGCCCACCCTGGCCATCCTGACCACCCTCTGGCTGCATCTTTGGTAACGGAAGTGTAGGCACGGCTCCTCATTAGTTCATTCCTTCCTTCACGCTGTTTTCTTCAGCACCTTTGTGCTTGGAGCTCTCGCAGGTGCTGAAGTGCACAGCAGTCAACCAGGAAGGCGGTGCACACAGGTGGGAGAGGGATCCAGCTGGGCTAGGGGCCCAGGAAGAGCAAATGTCCTGAGGCAGGACCCAGCTGAGTGTCTGAAAAATCCAAGGGGGTGAAGTCAGTAGGAGAGATGAGGCCTGAGGAGGGGAGAGGCGGACAGAGCAGGGGCTTTGCTGGAGCGGGAGTCATAGGATCCAGAAGGACATTTCTGCTTTGGGCCCCAAAACAGTCACATGAGGTGGATACCACTCACCCCGCTTTGGACTTGACAAAACCGAGGCTCAGAGAGAGGAGAGACCCTCCCAAGAGTTCAGAAGCACAGAGTGTCCAGGATGAAGTTGCCCCAGGTTCTAGAATTCTGGATCCTGCAGTGCATCCTCTGAGCACTCACATTTCCTGGGCTCCTTCAAGGTGCCTGGGACTCTGCCAACTTCTACACACACACCCCTTTATCTTACCCTCTCAGGCATAGATTCTGTCGTTACTCCCCATCTTACAGGTGGGGAAACAGAGGCACAGAGGGAATAAGTAACTTGCCTAAGGTCAAATGGCTGTGGCGGTAGGATTTGAAACCAGGCAGTGTGCCCGGGGCTAGGAACTGCCCCCCAACCCTGACTGTTGCCCGAAAGCACACCAGCCCAAACGTACTGCTGTTGGCTTGGTTCGGATTCCTAGTCGCCCCGTGAGGAATATTGATGGCATCGTGCATCCTGGGTTGGGCTGCTAACCCAGAGGTTGCTGGATCTGGTCTGCTGTCCTCTCCGAGGGAAAGAGATACATACTCTCCTCCCAGGAAGATTGGCAGGGGAACTGACAGACGGTTGTCAGCAATCAGAATAGATTTGATGGCGCTGGGTTTGGGTTTTGTTTTTGTTGTTTGTTGACAGTGACCTTGCAGTCTGTAGCATGTTGCACTGATAACCAAAAGACGTTGCATCTCCAGTAGTTTTCATTTACCAGAGGCTTTTCAATAGAAAGAGGGCCAGGCTCCATAGCGAAAATGTACAGCCTTGGACTCTGACGGAGGGTCACTCTGAGTTGGAATTAACTCCAAGGCAATGAGTTTGAGTTTAAGGGCAGAGTATAGTTGCCATGTAGGTTTTCCCAAGGCTGGGAAGTTTTTAAGGAAGCGTGCATGCTGCCTTATTTTTCTCCAACAGAGAAACCCAGTGGTTGGATTCGAACCATCCGTAAGCATCCCAGCATTTAGCTCTCTGTCTCACCAGATCTCCTCTGGCCCTTCCCTGTTGTTGTTGTTGTTGAGTTGAATACAACTCACAGAGACCCTGTGAACAGCCAACCTGCCCCCTGCCCTGCCCTGCCCTGTGCCAGCCTCCTCATCTCTGACTGGTTCAACATTTCTCAAGGCCCTTCCCCAGCCGCTTGCAAATCTAAAGTCTCCTGCTCACTTCCCACCAGACCAGCTGAGCAATCCGTGATGTTTTCTTGTTCTTGTGACCTGACTGCCAGCAGAGGGGTGGCAGCAGCTGGGCACTGTCCTGGAGACCTGCCCTTGACTGGGCCCAGCCGTCATTACCCCAGAGATGCCCAGGCTTTCTGCAAACCTGACATGTTCCTCCTTTAAGTATTAACACACGCACGCACACACACACACACACACACACACACACACACCATAAACACACAGAACGCTTGCACACCAGGCCCATGTGCTTCCTATTAACTCCCCGACCCCTCAGAGGAGGGATAAACTCTCCAGCCACTTTGAGCATCTTGGGATGGAAGATGGGGGCCGGGCACAATTTTTCAGAGACGGCAATGGAGAGGAAGGTGGGGACTGACTGAGGCTGAGATCTGAGAGCGCTGACCTGAGCTGAACCAGCCAGTGTTCAATTATAACCCAGCATGAGTCTTTTCATTCCCTCTTATAAAAATTATGTGTTTGCAAAAGCATAAAGGACTTAAGTGGGTTATGTGTTGAGCTGCTAACTGAAAGATGGGCACTTCAAACCCACCTGTTAATACACGGGGTAAAGATGGACAGTCCGCTCCTGTTACGATACACAGCTTCGGAAGTCCAGTGTAGGGTCACCATGGGTCAGAATCAGTTGAGTGGCAGGGGATATTTCCCAGCCATCATTTTACAGATGGGTAAACTGAGGCCTGGCAGGAGAGAGGCTTTCAAGCAGCCACAGAGCAAGTATTTCATAAGCCAGGATGCCCCCAACCCTGGACTCTTATTGCTAATGGCATGAACTTCTAGAAGCTGCTGCAGAGTCATTGCCCCCCAGGATCCTGGTTTGAGATCTGTGCTTGTTAGAATTACACGGCCCCTCCACTGGATGTACAGTCAACTTGAAAGAGAAAAGTCCGCAGCACTGTCGAGCCGCTCTGGTGTTTATTTCTTTTTTCAAAATTCACTCAGAGGTATTTAAGCTGAAATGGATTTCTTATATATTTGACTTCCCTCCCCCACTGCTTTTTTGGGTTTTCCTGCTAAAACCATG